GTGTGTGTGTGTGTGTGTGTGTGTGTTGTGCGTGTGTCCTGATATGCAGATGCGTGTTTCTGGATTGTTATGAATGTACATGTGTATGTGCATTAATACGTCTGTTGCATTCATATCTGTATATGTATCCGTATGTGGTATGTTATGCGTGCGTATTTTTGTGTTTAGGTGTATGTTTGTGTTTATGTGTACGTGTTTAATTCCATGTACCTGTGAGTTTGCAAATATTCGTACACACTTGCATGAAAACAGATCCACACACTAATACCTTATCAATCAAAAAGGGAGGACCTAACCAAAGCGTAGGTAACATACTTGGATGATTCCGAACGGGTCACTCGCTTTGTAGTGACTCCAGGGGAAGGACTTGTATCACCTACTGTTGAAGCGCTTTTATGTGAACGTTCATGTTCACTTATAGAACTGCCGTTCTTTGCGGCGGTGGCACTTGTTGGTTTGCCCTGAAAGCTTGATTGCCTCACAATTGAATTATTGTGAGGTTCATCTATGGGAACTGAGTTGACTGCTTCTGCGCTGATACTCATAGCCATCTTCTCTGATTGCTTGCGTTGCTTTAGCATACTCAGACTGCGTGTGAACGTCTTACCCGTGCCCTTGAGCCCTGCATGCTTTGTACCGTCCCCATTAGCACCAGGCTGTGGTGGTGGTGGGAGATGCACAGAGCTGCCATTGTCTGCTACTGGTTTGTCAGTCACATTCCTTTTTGAGTGTTTTCTAATTGTACCAGTAACGATCTCAGCCGCATTGCTGAATGACTCTGACTTGCGCTTATGCATGTGTTCCTGTGGGTTTCCCTCTGATGCCGTGCGTGTGTGTGCTTCATAGACCACGGCGTCGTTGGTAGACAGCCGTGACTCATCCGTCATCCGAGGCACAGACATTGTGGTGCAATGAGGGCTTGGCCAAGCAAGCGATGTTTCTACCGTTTATGGCGCTAAGTACTCAGGGCAATTTTCTGCCATGTTTGTCCCTTCATTGCCGCCAGACAACAAAGAACGCGATGTGACTGTGAAGCAATAATAGGGCAGGTGAGAAACTGTGTTGGAATGGAAAATTAAATATATAGCTACTGTATGGTACTTGATAACAATTGATCAATGTGACTACATAAAGGAAAGACTTATGTGGATGCGGATATGCACTTGCGTGTTGCTATTTTGATTTTACTATGAGGCTGTCTGTGTGAATCAGTCCATCTGTGAGCAATTCCATTTATAAATATCAATTATTTTTTACACTGGCCAGGGGCCCAGGGCCCAGACTGAAGAGGTGAGGAAACTGGGGATGGATGCCTGCTGGTGATCCCCTCATTTTCTGATTTTCAAGCACTTTTATATATATTTCACAGAACAAATTCAAGCATTTCATAGGCGCTCTGTCGCTCTGGATTCTGTGAAATCGAATCAATTTCCCCGAAATATCATAAATATTTTATATTTATAAAAATACAATGAATGCACCACAGTGGGAGTGCTCTAAAATTGAAAACCCATGACTCTACTAACCGCCTTTTATGGTATGTATGCAAAAATATACTTCACTTTTGCGTACATGCCCACAATTACTCACTTTTTGTGATTCATGCGCACGCCCGTAACGAAGTTGGTAACCGTTGACGAACGAAAAATTAGTGCGTCAGCTGTCTCGCCTCCAGCCCTAACACTATTTTAAATCAGCTATAGGACACATATGACAACATGAGCAAAAAACGAGCTTCGCCCCCTAAATTCAAAGTAGATCAAACAGACGACACCGACAAACCACAGCAGAATGCGGTTAGAACAGCCACTCCACGAAAACAGAATCCACTTACAAATACGAAGGAAATCGAGCCAGATCTCATACGACAGACTAGTATGCCACCGCTAACGCCCCCGCCTACTTCAATTACTAATCAGTTACCGACATCATCGGCTAGCCACCGATCGCAATCCGTATCTACAGTGCCAGAAGGCAGTGTAAGTTATCGCAATTATATGCGATAAACGTGTATTTGAACGAACCGATTATATAT